GTATAGATGAATAAGATAGTTTGGGATGTTCCGTGTGATATACACACAAAAAAAAATCAAAAATTTTAAAAAATGTATTATATTTGGGGAGGAAGCATAGAAGTTTACATCATGTTAATTAGTAGATGTTATAAACATTACAATTGAAATCTACCTGATGACTTCAAAGATATACACAGCCACCAAGGATCCAAGTGCAACCGGTTATGACTAGTAATAATCACATACATGCAGATTAGAGATGCATGTGCCAACATCTCAGTGTTAGTAGCAAAAACAATGAGTCTTTCTGCAAGGAATAATATATTCTAAAATAAAATGGAAATCTTTTTTAAAGGCTAAAAACTCATTCAATTTTATGTCTTACAGGGCTTTTACTGAGTTCAATATTGTATAACTGTATTAATTCAAATGTGAACCTAGAAACTTGCAGCCACTCGTGAAGGTGTACTCTTGCTCTGGATTGTGTTACTGAATGTTAAATCTATAGTGAAATGCTTCTTCTGATCATGTAGTTATTTTAAAAAGTTAAATAATGGTTAAAAAAATAATTCTTCATAGCATAAAAATTTGCTCCTTAGTAATTAGTAGATGTGAAAAACATGACCATTGAAATCTACCTGATGACTTTATATCCATGCTCAGATGCCAAGAAGCTCAGAAAGTAACCTACTGTAACTAGTAATAATCAGATATATAGAGACTAGAAATGCTTGTGCAAACATATTGTCAATTGCATTAAAAATGAATTTTCCTATATGAAACTGTGTATTTTAATAATGAAATGGAGATATTTTAAAGGCTAAAATCTCATTTAATTTTATGTCTTATAGGATTTACACTGAGTACAATATTGTATAACTGTAATAATTCAACTGTAAACCTAAAAATTACAGCCAATTTTGAAAGAGATGCATCTTAGCTCTGGAAATTGTTACTGAATATGTCAATGCTGTTGTAATGCAATGCTTCTTCTAAGTGTGTGGTTATTAGATAAAATTTTTTTAAAGTCCTAGAAGGACAGAGCCTGGAGAGATGGCTCATTGGCTAAGAGCACTGACTGCTCTTGCAGAGGACCCAGGTTCAATTCCTAGCACCCACAAGGTGGCTATGCACTGTCCTTAACTCAAGTTCCAGGGGAATCTGAAACCCTCTACTGACCTCTGCATCATGGCATGGCACAGGTGCAGTTACTTACATGCAGGCAATACACTCATACACATAAAAATAAAAATAATAAATAATAAATAAAATATTCCCATTGAAATCAGGAACCAGACAAGGATGTCCACTATCTATACTCCTTTTCAATATAGTGCTTGAAACACTTGCTAGAGCAATTAGAAAAGAGAAAGAATTTAAAGGAGGACTAATAGGAAATGAATACGTCAAATTATCCTTTTTTTTGCAAATGATAACTTATTGTACCTAAAATATGCCAAAAATTCCACCAATTTCAGAGGAAATCATATTATTCCAACAACCAAGTGACAAGTTACACATATAATATCTCCAAATAAGTCCATGTGTATAGCTAAAGTCTACATAACAAGAAACAGTGCCAAACGGGAAACCTTCCTTTGAGTTGTTGGCCAGGGTGATCCAAAAGACTCCCCAAAATACACAGGCTATTGCCACAGCCCTTGATTGCCTCCCAGAACTCGAAGTAAAGACCCTAGTGCTGAAGACAGAACTTACTTCAGACACAGGATTTGAAGCAGTGAAGCTGGAACTGACCTGGAAGCCATTTCCCCTAAATAGCTTTGGAAAGCATTATATAAGGTGCCAAGGGAGTACATCAATTGATGATTCACCATCAGCTTCAAGACCAAATGACCACATCAATGACCTGCACAGCATACAACATTGGTGCAGTAGTGGTAATTTCATATTCAGACAATCAACAGCTACGCAGTTGGAGTAAAAGCCCACTCAATGGGAAGAAATTCATGTGTGGTGCTGTAAACATAACCAAATACACATGATTGAAGTGGTCATAGATCCTAAAGAAAACCCCAAAACTGTCACGTCCCTAGACTAATGTAATTTCTGACTATATGCAAAATATACTTCCTTATATTTACAGACAAATATCCCAGTGACAACCCATCAAAGAAGCTTCTTTTGCACCAGCAGAGACTATTACAAAGTACCACAACTGGTCATACACAGTCATTGTCTGTGAATTTCTCAAGTCTAAGTGGCACATCTACGATGCAACCTCTACATCCAAGACTCACAGAACATAGAACGAGGGTAAAGAAGACAATGCTGAATATCTCAATTCGCATTAATGAAGCTCCCTCATGCAACAGAGGGCCAGGAACACAAAAGGTCACAAAAGGCCAAAGTGTAGAAGCTAAGAATCTGCAGACTGCAGGTCCTTGCACAGGACTTCTATATTAAACTACATCCACCCAGGGCTAAGGGACCATGGCAGAAGGAGGGGTACAAATATTGTAAGATCCAGGGAGGAGGTGCACGACCACATGGAAATAAAGTCCTTCAAGCTTCTGGGACCCTGCTCATATGAACCTACAACAATGGTGTCAATATGCACAGGACCCATGCAAACTCAAGCAAACTTAAAAACCTACCATAGAAATGGGAAAATGGACAGTTCACCCCAATCTTAACTAAAGAAATATTGGCAATTGATTCCCCCAGGGAGAGGAAGAGCTGATCTTCCTAAAGGAAAATACTATAGATAGACTGACTTGATCTCAGTAGATGAACTTGCACTGAGGGATGTCTAGGTACACTAACTTGATGCAATAGGCCTTAAGGCAAATGATAGAATGCATGAACTCCAATGGAGAGGCTATGGCAGGGTGCCAGTGGGGAAGGCAGTATAAAGATGATTAAGATTTATTGAGATGTTCTATATGAAATACACAAAAATTCAATTAAAAAATAGAATACACCACTGCCTGGCATGTTGATGTGTTCTTATAATCTAAGAACTTAGGAAGCTAAAAAAGCCTTGCCTATTGACAGCTACACTGTGTGTCAAACACACACACATGTACAAACACACAATTTCCTTTGCATAGATAGAGTTCCACATACATGCACATACATTTGAACTGGTACTTAATTACAGGGTGGCAAGAAGAAATAAGAGAAAATACAACAGAAACTAACAAGGCCTCTAGGGAATTCACCCAAATGTGGAATGGACTCTTGAGAAGCAGCCACTTTAATTAAGTCCAAAGTCTATATTTGGTCATACAAAGATCACAGAAGAGCATTTTAGAAACACACAAGGACTTGGAGGAAGGTCTGGGTATGCTGAAGAAAGACAAGGTCACTAAGGAGTGGAAACAGACACAGGTCTCATGGCAGGAGAGCATGGAACACTTCCAGCAAGGTTAAGGTCTATGCTAAGTGCAATGGGAGACTATGAGACAGTGGTTACAGTCAGTTCATGTTTTACTGAATATTGCTGGTATACATGGTGCCTAACACACAGAAAGGAAAAAGTGTCAACTGAATTCAGATTTTTATCCTGCACTTATCTGGAATCACCTAATCATATTAAAAAATGAACTCTGAATAATTCCTAAATCCAAATACCTAGATAGAAAATAATCAGTATCTGGAAAATTATAAACAAATGAATAAACATAAACAAAGAATTCTAAGTTTGCTGGATCAAAGATTATATATCCTGGTATCAATATAGTTTCTCCCAGATATGCATTCAAATATGAAGGCCTTTCTTACTATGAAAGAATTTTGTAAATGCAATTAACTAAAATGAACTCTAAAATAGGAAGATCCCTTCTTCTACTCTGACCTCTATCTTCCCTCCCATGAACCCCCACATACCTTGACCACTCGTTTCCTGACCTCTCTGGATTTTTCAATTGAAACACAGATATCTAAAATTCCAAAGCTAGCATCAAGCTACAATAGAATACAGGTGATAATTGTCTTTCTGGGTCTGTGTTACCTCACACAGCCTGAATATTTCAAGTTCCATCCATTTGCCTAAAAATTTCATAATTTGGGTTTTCAACAGATGAATAGCATTTCACTGGGTAAATGTGCCATACTACCATTATCTATTCATCAGCTGGTGGATATCTGGGTTGTTTCCATTTGGTGGTGAGTATAAAAATGGCAGCAATGAACATGGATCAACAGGCATCTCTGTAGTAAGACATGAGCCCCTTCGGTTTACACCCAAGAGTGGAATGGCTGGATCATATAGTAGATCAATTTCGAGCTTTTTGAGAAATCTTCATACTGATTTCCCATAGTGACTGCACCAATTTACATTGCCATCAGCACTGGATAAGAGTTCCCTTTTCTGCACCTCACCTCATCATAAACATTTGACCTTGTTTTTTTTTTTTTTCTTTTTGAGTGGGTGGTGGTCAGAAGAGGAAGTATGGGGAGGGATAAATAACACTAAAGGTCTTTAGAAAAACCCGTATGGGTGCTGTTACCGTGGCTTTGAGTTCGTATGAGTAACTTTCCAGCTGTCTGGAAAACTCTATTTTTTGTGGCCATTCATGACCTCTGGCTCTTCCAATCTCTCATGTAACCATAAAAGATTCTTAGCCTACAGCCTAGACATGCCATTCCTAGAGTGCTGAGGCCCAAGACTGTTAATGAACTAGCTGCTAAATCAATGACCATTCATGCCTCATCAAAAGAAATATCAATCTACTAGTGTTATGAAATATTAAGAGATCTACATGGAAGTTATCTTCCCACTAAGCTCATGTCCAGGATGGTGCTGAAGTCTTTGCCTTGGACTGCACTGTACAAAGCTCTGACCCCTTTCTACCACAGGGGTGCATTTCCTAAAATGCATCCATTTTCACACAAAGAAATTGGAATCATTTCTAAAAAATACAAATAGGAACATATTACATCATGGTCTGTTCCTTCTGATTTCTTGGTCACATTCTGTTGTCACTAAAGGAACTCTGGGCAAGGGACAGGAGAGAACTATGAACAATTCAAACAGACTTGAAGCTCACTGCCACCTGCACCTATGATGAAAGTTTTCAGTGTTTCAAGTGATTAAAGATGGTTCCTTTAATATGGGACATCATGAAAATGTTCAAATTGTAAACTTATTCTGAGTAAAAGTATCCTTTTCTATTTCTTTTAAACTTTATATTGGAAATTTTTGTTGTTTATTCTACCTATGATCCAGTTATAGATCCAGTTCTGGTGTTATTCTAGCATACTTTTTTTTGGTGTCAGAGTTTGCTTATGAAGAAATAATCTCCAGAAGGCTCCTATGTAAAACATTTATTTCCAACCTGATGGTTCCAATCTTTTGGAGGTGATTGGATCATGAGGACTTCAACCTAATCAATGGATTCAACTATTGATTATTCATGACTGAACAGCATTATTGGGCGTGGTGGAAAATCAAGTATCTGTGCTAGTTTGAAGAGTTAGATTACTAGGGCCAGGCCTTTGAAGGGGCAGTCTTCTTCCTGGACCCTTCCTCTTTCTCCCTTTCCTTCCCAGTTTCCAAGAGGTGAGCATTTTCCCCTGCCACACCCTTCCTCCATGATATTTTAACCTCACCTCAGATGCACAGCATTTAAGTTGCTTTCCTCAGATATTTTGACACAGGGAAGAAAAAACTACCACTCAGCACAGCCCACACCACTTCAAGCTTTTCCTGGAGAAACACCTAGACATAGGAACATCAAGCACTTTTCAGATGGCTGATTCCTAGGCAGACAAGCCTTAAGATATTTGGAGTTTTCCAAGTATTTTATGTAGTATAGATCACTCTTGTCCCTACTCTATCTTCAATGTAGGTGCTCAACTGTTTGGGTTTTTAAATGAATGCACAAATGGGATTAGTTAGCACTAATGCCAGTTATTTCTCTGGGAGCACGAAGTGTTTTCCCTTCAGAAACATTAAGTTCTAGGAATTGATGTGAGATGTAAAGACTAGAAGGTAGAGTATGTTGACCCAAAGCATATCCATCAGTGGGGTGGAGTGAGGTTTCTCATAAGAAAAGCAGATGGCCCTCAGAGGGAAATGTGGCCCAAAAGTAGTGGCAACAATACCATGTTTTGTCTTATTTTGGGTTCTAGATTATTTTGTAGGTAAAATATGTGTGACAGAGATAGAGATAGAGAAAGAGACACAGACTGAGACATGTACACAGGGAGATGAAATTAAAAGAGAGACTAGAAGAAGGAAGGATCATAGGAGAAAGAAGGGGAAATGGGGAGGTTAGGTGGCTATGATAAAATATACGATCTACTTGAAAGACACTGTTTTAATGAAGCCTATGTACAAAGAACATACACCAATAAAGAATTTTAGGTCTAGCAAGATGGCTCCACAGGTGAAGGGACTTGCCACTGAGACTGATGCTACACATGAATTCAATCCCCAGAACTCACATTGTAGACAGAGAAAATTAAGTCCCACAGGTTGTCCTCTGACCTCTATAAACAAACCATGGCACACATGCACACATACTACTACACAAATACAGAGAGAGGAAGAGAGAGATGAATATATAATAAAACAAAAAATTTATAAAAATTAAAAGAAGAAATGGACACCAGTAAGGGAGTGAAGAACTCTAGGAGCTGCCAAGTCTTCATCCTGGACACTGCTGATGGTGAGAGTGAAATCTGTCCCAGACCCACTGCCAGTAAACCGATCAGGAACCCCAGTCTCCCGTGTGGACGCCCAGTACATCAGCAGTTTAGGAGCCTGCCCTGGCTTCTGCTGGTACCAAGACAAGTAGTTCTTCTGGTTTGAGCTATAATAAAGACTCTGGCTGGACTTGCAGCTGATGGTAACTCTCTCTCCTGCTGACACAGCCAGGGAGGCTGGAGACTGGGTCATCACAATCTCCCCACAGGCAGCTGTAATCAGGAATAGACAATGATCATACATTATATCAAAGATCAGACTTTACAATATAAACTAAGTTTTCATTTAAATGGTCTTGTTATAGTATTTTATCAGTATATTATTTTTTAAGAAAGATTATACCCTGATACAGATTGTGGTTCTTATATACAAAGATGTGATTCTGAAAAGATTGTAATACTTTTAATTTGTCACCAGACACCCAGAACAGCAAGGACATGAGTACCTGGGTTTGTGACACCATCTTGCTGCTTCTGCCTGTCTGAAGCGGTTTAGTCCTCATTGCAAGAGCTCTGTTTATAAATTCTGAGAACCTGGGCTGGGCCTGGAGGGACCTATGCAGAGCAACCTGCAAATAAAAAAGCAAATTTCCAGGGCAGTGAATGTGAGAGTATTTGCTGTAAATCAACAACCCAAAATACCATCACAGAAAACTTAAGACAGGAAATGATCAGCTATCAGTGCTCAAGCAACAAACCACTAGCAGTTCTAATGCCACGCTTCAGTTTAAAATCCAAGGCGTACTTAAATTAGGTGAGTTTTATAGAAATGTTAGGAAAGCTATCTCAGACTGACAATGCTAGGAGAACAATTAAACGTATTAGAAAATCACAGTGACAAAAGAGAGAAAACAGCAAGAGAAGAAAGAGAAAAAAGAAGGAAGGAGAGAAGGAAGGAGGGAGGGAGGGAGAGAGAAAGAGAGAAAGAAAGAATGAGAGAAAGAAAGAAGAAAGAAAGAAGAAAGTCAAAAGAACTACAACAGAGCGGCCAAGAGAAACCCAGAAATCACTCTGTGAAACTCCTGCAGATGCTAACTGAACCTGGCCTAAAACAGGCTTTAATGTCAAAATAACAGCAGACTCCAGAAAAAAAGAAATTACTAAGTACCCTTCACACACCTACTGGGAACTGAAAGGGGAATCTAAAGAAGTGGGAATTAGAGGAGGAAAGCCAAAGAAAATTGCATCATAAAACCAAGGTTATAGGCCAAAACAGCCAAGAGGTTTTACTCAGAAACACATTTTTAACAGGGGTCTAGAACTCAGCAATACGGGGATTGGGTTAAAATGATCTTAATGACATAGTGTACTTAAAAATCTGTCTATAAAGAGACAACACCGTTCAAAATCCAATGATGAATTTACAGGGCCCAGTAGACTGCAGCATGAGAAATTGGTGTTGTTAGAAAAAAAGAAAAAAAGGTTATCCTAGTCAGAAAATCAATAGCAATAACAGACATTAAATTTCTTCCCAGACTTTGGATTAGGGAATTGTGAAAGTGTGACTAAGAGGTAAATTATAAATCCAATATTATGTGCAACCTATGGGAAATAAAAAAAATTAATTAAATATAGTAGGGTGAGAATGCATATCTGTAATCTTGGAACTTGGGAAGCAGAAACAGGAGTTTCATGAGTTTGAGGCCACCCTGGAATCTATAGCAAGTTCTAAGTGAGCCCAACATACACAAGGGGATAATCTCTCTCTCTCTCTGTCTCTCTCTCTCTCTCTCTCTCTCTCATATATATATATACATTTATATGTGTATATATATATATATGTAATCTACTGGTTAAAATGTAACTCAAGTATTTTATATCCAAAGTAAATCATTTATCTAATGTTGAAGTTTATCATTAGACCTGGAAAATCATATATGTATTTAATTAATATGCTCTCCACTTTTATTTTGCTTTTATGCATTCATGTTCCAGGCACAAAATATTTAAAATCTATTTATATCAAATTAAAACTGGAGAGATGGCTCAACAATTAAGAGGACTGGCTGCTCTTGCAGAGGACCCAAGTTTAAATCCACCACCCATATGGCAGCTAACAACCATCTGTAATTCCAGTTTCAGGGCATCCGACACCCTCTTCTGGCCTCCTTGGGTATTGCATGAAACAGGTGCATTTACATGCATACAAATAATACACTCATACACAAAAATAAAAATAATAAAGAAAATATTTTTAAAAGAAAAAGAAACATATGAAACAAATATGATGTGATTGAGGAACTTCCCAATTTCTAACCTCAAGTTTATGAAAGACAATAAAAAATATGAAAGGTGAGTAACTCTGCACCAGTCACTGTCTACACAGTCATCATGTCGTCTAGAACTGTGTACTTTGCTGTGTGTCTCCTACAGTAACTTCATATTTGTTGTCTTTCTTTTCAGTTACTACAACTTAATCGGATTGGATAGGGATGGAGACAGGGTCTTACAAGCCCAGGGGAATGCTACGGTAAAACACACATGCTTCTCACAGTATGTAAGGAGAGAACAAGGACATTTGGAAGATAATTGTCCACATTCTTTCAAGTATAAGAAAAAGCAATGCAGAACACTGTTACTGCTTTTGAAACAAATCAAGTTTCCATGACATACTGTGGTATATTAGATTTCTTGGTCTGTGTTTATCAAGGACCACAAATTCATTGGTTGAACACAACACGGACTATTTCTCTCACACCTTAGGAGGAAAGAAGTCTGAACTTGACCACCTTGAGCTCTTCTGAAATAGCACTCAATTCTGTAGTTACTAACAAGGCTATGGGTCCCAGGGAATATCAGGTTTAGAGTCAAATCATCCTGAGTCATCGCAAGACTGAACTCAACCTTGTTATTGTAATACATAGAATCTCCTTTTAGACACAAATGAGTGACTGGGACTACACAATATCCATGAAAGGAGTAGACACCGAAGGATTTTCAACAATAATTAATATAAAATTTTAATATATAATTTTCTTTTGTTAAGCTATATAGAATTCCGCACACCTGGATTCCTATCCCATAGGAAGGTGAGGCAGGGGATTATCGTGAATTTGAGGTCAGTTTGGTATACAAAGCAAGTTTGACAAAGCAAGTTTGGGCCTAGGATAGAATATAGAAGTATATATAGAACATAGAAAATTTCTACCTTTTTAGAAAATTAGCCTAATTCATTCTTTTGGCCTGGAAAGATAATCAGTGGTTAAGAGCACCTGCTGCAGTTCCAGAGGACCCGAGTTTCTTTCTCAGCACTCACATCTAGCAGTTAACAACCACCTGTAACACCAGCTCCAGGGGATCCAATGCACTCTTCTGTTCTCTGTGGAAATCCAAGCACGTTGGCATACACATACACACATAAAATGAAAATAATAAAAAAATCTTAAAATAATAATGTTTGTTTACATATAACATATATACATTATATACATAGGTCTCTAGGTAGTATATATAGATACATACATCTAAAAGGAGTCTTGATCAAAAGGGCTCTTCAACAAGGATATTGGATCTATAGTAGAAAAAGATTAATTTCCTTCTTAAAGTTCTTTTCTTTGAGGCTTAAGAGATGGCTCAGCGGCTAACACTGACTGTTCTTGCAGAAGACCCGGGTTTGAATCCCAGCACCCACACCATAGCTAACAACTGTCCGTAACTCCAGTTCCAGGGGATCCGACAGCCTTTTTTTGTCCTCTGTGGGCATTGCACGACACGGATGCACTTACACATGCAGGCATAACACTTGTACACATAAACTAAAAATAATAAAAAAAATTTAAGTTCTTTTCTTTGAATATGTTTATGAACTTTAAGAAAAAGACATTTCTAATATTTGCTTATTTGCATCATTCCTATGGTACATTTGTAATCAAAAATAACAGAAACTTTAGTACTAGGTCTATTCTCTGCTGCTAAAGAGAAAAAAATTCTGAAGATCTGTAGTTGTGAGATAAGAGCAGTTTCTTAACATTATTGGCTGATAGGCAGCCAAACAGAGTAACCTTTCTCCTCCCAGAGATTTACCAGCATGCACACATCCATATCTCTGGTACTGTCTTAGAGAGTCAGGGCTGTGTGCACCCTGTATTCCCACAGATCTCACACACACATTACCATGGACTTCTGCAGACTGATTCAAGCAACCTGAGTTTTTATCTGTTTGTTTTCCTTCAAATATAAGAGATATTTCTATCACTTGATTCACACTAGAGACTTCCTACACTTGTCTAGATCTTCTCACTTCACCTCACCCACCAGGAAATTTGCATATTGTTCCCTGGGGAGGCATCCTCCTTGCAAGTTCAGCTCCAATCTTGCATGGACTTCTCTGCAATCCTTATTTCATCTTCTCAAAATAAGGATTTCTCTTCAGCTTCTGGTTGTGCTAACATTCTGGACCCTGGTAAGGACAGGGGAGAGAAGTACAAAGTATGGCATAAGTGGGTGATCTCTGGGATCTTGCTGCCCATATGTGTTCTCTCTAGATGCTTCATGTACAGACCCTGTGATATTTAGAACTGTGAGTCTGAGAGAGACTCCACAAGAGCAGAGTCCTATCATCTCATGAAGATTATCACAGAGAATAAGTGTAAAAATATAAGAAAATCCTACAATGTGACAGTACACCTCGGTCCTTATTTAAAATGGAATATTTTTGATCTGTAAATCAAAATCACAGTAATAATTTAGTCTGAATTACAAAAATGTTAAATTATAAATTGGATGATGATGTGTGCTTATGACAAGAACCTTCTTCCTCATTTATTTAGGATCCACTGTAGATAGTGAGAAATTTTATTGATTCAAGAATTTCATAGAATGAATTTTGATGATATTCAGACCTCTGCATCTCCACTTCACCCTGCCATCCCCGCTCCACCCCTGACTTTATGTCATCTATTTGCAAATGAAAAACTCCATCCGTGTTACACAACAGATCTCAGCTGGGTGCCAGAGATATTATATCACATTAGAGTGTCAGTGATCCATAATTCTTGCACTGAGGTGTACTAAAGTAAGGGTCCACTCCCTTTCCATTATATGAGGTTTGGGTTCAGAACAAGCCCAGGTTTATTGGAATGGGATTTTCACTCTTAGTTTCTATTTCTCTTACATACTGCTTAGGAATGTCAGGTAGGAGATTTCATTTTTTCTCAGCATTCAGAAACACTTGGTTTTCTTCATTAAAGTTAGTTGTTCACA